GGCAGTAGGTGCTGTGAATACCTTCTTCATCAGCTGAACCCAACACCTGCAGACAAGTACTTCATGTGTCAAAGTCTACCACCAGGGGCAAAATGGTTTTGTTTCTTCCTTTTTTCTTTATTCCTCAAGGGATTCTTACCTCCCCATCGCTGTTCTTTGCATCTGTTCACCCTCTGTGTTTGTGTATTTCCAGAGAGCAGGACTGGGGGGACTTGGCCATCGCGTGGACTTCATTAAGGTCCTCTGAGAAAGGGGCTCCAAACTCATTGCTGGCATTTGCACTCATGTTAAGGAAATCACAAAAAGGTATGGGGATGTGTCAGGAAAAGTTCAGGCCAGATCCTCAAGCTGCTGTATACTGTAGTACTGCAGCCAGCTGAGGAACTGACCCCACATGGGAGGGGGAGTGAAGAAAATTTGTTTTTGCTTCCTGCGCCACATCTGAATTAAATTTAACTTAAACTTAACACACAAACAAAAGAAACGCACACAAAAAAGAGTATTGATACACAAACTATAAAGAGCCATGCTACTGCAAGTCAACTGAGAAATGCTTCTGGCTGGACATTCTGCACGTATTGTGATTGTTGAGATGTTACATTGCTACTTGCAACTGATACCTTCACAGTGAGACAGAAACAAACAAAAAAGAAAACAGAACTATTCACATTACTATGCAGATTATTCAGGTATAATCTAACATAACAGAAAAAATGTAAGGAAACTCTTGGAATCTAACCTGAAATGTAGGCCATTTTTAAATGAATTAAAACATGTACATATAGCGTACTTGATTTCCGTTGTTATTTTGAAATGCTCTAATACTTTGTGCCAGAGCTGTGGTATCTAAGGGGGGCAGGTGTGACAATGGGCAGTCAGGTGGAATGCTATTCAGTGTAGATTGTTGTTCTAGCAGTATTTTGGTACAGATGGATTGGTGATGTATTCTGCGGGTGCTTGATGTTCTGTTGCTTATAGGCCATTTCCAGTGTTCTGATCTCAACCACTTCTTTCTTACATGTGTTGTGGGTGATGGCATGTTTTGTTTGGTACCACCCAGTTCCCACTGAAACCTTTGTCTTCCCTTGGCTCCTCAGGCCTTATCTTAGCTAAGGGAATGGAAATAACATCTTGTTCTGCTTGAGCCGAATCAGCAACTCTCTCTTCAGCTTAAAATGGAATGATGAGCTAAGAAAAGTACTAAGTTCAGTGTTGAAACTGTAACTTGGATTGAGATGTATTTACAGCAAAAGTATGCTTGGGTTGGATTTTCCAGCCACGTGGCAATAGTAAAATTAAAGCACTGCTGTGCTACAGTGGAAGAGCGGCTGTCAGTCTGCAGTCCCACCACCTGTAATGCCAAAGGGCTGCCTGGTGAGGCACAAACCAGGGTGTGGGCAGTGCAGAAGCTGTTGGCTTTTCACTGTATGTCAGTGTGGCTGACTTAAGGTCTGACATAGAAGACTGAAGATTTGGGTAACCCATCCATGCTTGCTTAAAATCCCAACAGAGAACTCTTTACATCTTTCACTTCAAACCATATTTTTGCTAAGTTACTGAGTTTTCCGTCAATTGATGATTTTCCAAACTCCTTTTTTGAAATTCTTTAGAAGTTCAAAAAGCTGTCTGCAGTAACTTGAGGATGGCAGTGCTTCCACTGTGAGCTCATTTATTTTTAAATTTTTTACATTTCAGTTTGTGTTTAGTTTTCAGTCATAGATGGCTTATCACGAGTTAGCTGCAAACCAAACAAAAACTTTGCTTTGTGGTTGTTTATGAACACATGGTAGAACGTGCATAAATTCGAGGAACTCATCAACCTACTAAGCTCTATAAGGACCTGTAGTAATTAAGTACTTACTGAAACAGCTGTTAAGGACTTCCAAAGTACTCATGAATAGAACTTTCATTATAATTTTTGATGTATTTCTGAGGAAGGGAGTTATGCTGCCAATAAATGCCCTGGCCTCTGCTCCTGCAGTTACAAGTATTTGTGAATGGCTGTAGAACGGGTGAGCTGAGGAAAATGCACTGTTTATTAGTGACAACAGGAGCACGAGGTAAGTGGTGTTGGTTATGTGCTGCTTTTGACTGGCTCTGGCTTCACCCTAGGGACAGTTTCTCAAAGGATGATGGTGAGTGCATTTTGAAACCTTTACTGATGTTGACAACCGAAAGCACATGGCCTAATGCAAACGAGCAACTAATGGCAGAGATAAAGCTAACTGATGCCACTCCTGGGGTAGCTGAGTAATGTTTTAGGGCCATGTAAAGAGGGGAAAAAAAGATTGCCTCGGGGACAGGAAGAGAAGCTGGAAATGTTTCAGTGGGCTCAGTTCTTCTGGAGTACTTCAGATACAACACTGTGTGGGTCTGCCAACTGTTTCTCATAATTTTTGGTACTTTATGGCTGACTGCAGAGGGATGCCTGCATGTTCCTGCCAAATGTCACCAGCGCCAACGTACTGAGCAACAAAAGCCTTCTTTTGTGTGTTTTGTAAAGACTGTGTGTGTGTGCACATATGTGTCTGTGTTATGTCATAGGGTTCATGGATTCATGGCTGACTCCTACTGCCTTGCTTCCAGGGCCTACCCTCACATTTCTCTAACTTCATCACTTGCTTCAGCTGGCAGGGACACAATGGTGACTTCTGCCAGAGGGAAGGTTTGTTCTGTGCAAGGAGAAAGTGAAGGGGAGGCTGCTGTGGAGAACAGGGGGTGTTTCTGTCCCAGGCAGCACGGCCTCCTCAGGGACTGGAGGGGCTCTGAGAGAAAAAATAATCTGTACCCCACGTCAAGGAGTTCTGCATAGACTGAGGAGCTCAATTTCTGTGATTATTTCTTGCCATCATTTTTCTCCACACTCTGTGATCTCCTGGTTAAGGTAATTTAACAATGATGTCAGGGGCCCCTTACCTGAGCATTATGCATCTTCCAACTTGCAGTTCTTCAGGTTAAATTTAATATATTTGCATCTACATACAAGGAACCTTCTTCTGGCTACTGGCTTGGCCAAGCAGTCTGTGACATTATGCACAACTTAGAAAAGACACAGAAGACATGGAAAACAACCACAGTGGAAGTAAAATTATGTATTAATTTATTTAACTTGCATGTGCATTGTCTCACCAGTAGCTGGTGATCACAAAAAAAAAAAAACCAATAACCTTTGCACCCAACAAAACTTTCCATAAACTCAATGAACACTGTCTGAAGTATCTAATGATAAGAAAGTTGCAAAAAAATTCTCCACTTGAACAGTCTAAAGTGTGCTGAGTATTAAAGAGGAAAACCCACCAACCCCATTTTTATTCAAAGATGGTTTAAAAAAGTTTGACTTGGTCTAGTATTACAGTTTCTCCTATATGCCACTGCCCCTACCTGTGCAGCCTTTTTTTTTCCTGAGTTGTCAAGACTACAAAATACAAACTCTTAAAAACTCCACAGCTGCCCTGCTTTCTCAGCTGGCTTTCTGCAGGTCTGTACCAGCAGAGCGTGTCTGCAGCAGGGCAGAGAGGCTCTGCTGAACACACTTCCTTGAAATGTGCAAACAGGGTTAAGAAGAGAAAGCAGAGGAGGGTGAGGCATATATGTTGAAGGATATTTATGCAGTGTTCAAATTCATATTTCTCTCCCCTCCTGTTTGCTTCCTTTAATTGCTACTCCCTCTTCAACTGTCACTTAACTTTTAAGGGTGGTACTAAAAAAGGCATCTGTCCTATTGGCAAGTCTTTTGCCTGGGAGGAAGATCTTCAAGAGGTTTAGGGGTTTGGTTATAATTTGCTATGATAAATAATATATTCACTATGAAATTTTGTAATAAGAAATAAGCTAATCCTGTTGTCACAAAATTGGCTTTTCATATCATAAAATGAGGTCAGTAAGAAAAAAATAACTGGAAAAACATGGCTTTCATACTATACATAATTAAAAACTAATCATTAATAAATAAAATTTAATTTATCATTGAAATAATTAATTATGAAGCACTTCTAAAAATTTTAAAGGCAAAGCTATAGGCCTACAGTTAACATGCAAGTTCATCCAACACGTAACACAAAAATGTTCCATAGTAGTCAACTGTTGTATCAACATTCAAGAAGGTCTAGACAGCAGCACGACTTCTATATGGCAAACATCTCATAATGTATCACAACGGTCTCTTCCAACTCTAGAGAACGCTTCCATCAACTTCCAGAGCATGACAAAAATAATGGGTATTTCTGCAAAACTAATCTGACTTTGCAGCAGCGGGATGTGAGGGGGCTGCCAGGTCGCTGGGTGACCCTTGAGCAAAGGTACATCTGTGTCAGTTCCCATAGCTAGAGAAAGGGAAACAGAGGGCCCCGCTGCCTCCCTGCAGATGGCAGAAGCTTGGATTGCTGCCATGAGGCCAGCAGCCCCCAGAAGGCAAGCACTCAAAGCATCTGCCCTCACTGTGTTCTTGTTGTTGGCACCCATTGATCTTCAGGCTATTGTGACAGCAGGACAAAGCACTCTCCACACCCCAAGGGAAAAGTCTGCCAAATTTTCTAACTTCCTAGAAGGCTTTTTTTCCATATTCAAAAGGGTTAAAAAAAAGTAGGAAACATTTTTATCTTCTCAAATTCTTGCTAAGTTACACATATTACTTCAACTAGCACAATGGTTACATGACAAAGAACTGCAAATTATCAAAAGTACTGTACAGAAAATTACAAATTCATTTCAAAATACATTACACTGCTATGACTGAGATTAAAAAAGTGCTTTTTTTTCTTTTGTGTCAGAACAGTGTTTTTCTGAAGTAGAAGTGCCATAGCCATTACTTTTGAAATCCTGGTGTTTCGCTCTGGTTGTGCTATCCTGTTCATTATCTTTCCCCCCTTGTTTGCATCTGGCACCTTCTGCCTGGATGGCCAAGATGAGAGCATGGTGCAGCCACATCACGCATCCCCCCCGCCGCGTGGTGGCCAGGCTCCCCCCCCTGGTCCTTTGCACCCCCATGGAGCACCCCTTTGGGTTTTATACACCACATTATTTCCGTGGGGCGGGTTTTCTTACGCAAGGTTTCCTCACCCGTTCCCGTGGTTCCAACACAACCGCAGGGATTCCTGCCTTGCCGTTACCTGGCCCCTGCACCAATCTCCTCCTGAGAAGTGGCTGCATTCAGCGGTGCCGGTGCTGCCTCATGAGGGGCACGATGCAAGAAGGGGCCCCGGCCAGCTTAAGGAATGGGTGTCTCAACAGCTCCGGCGCCGTGGCTCTCTGTGAGGGTTCCCGCACCAGCATCAAGTCCAAGAAGCCCCGGAGGACAGAGGAGACCTGCAACACCATGCTGGCATTAGGAGCAGACAATGACAAGATAACCAGCATATGCTGAGTACTTTGCATGTCATTTTTCTTGTGAAGACAACAGATTCTCTGAGCTTTCCTGAGACAAAGATACACTGAGTTGAAGGACCATGCATCGTTCATGTTGAAAGCACTGAGGTGCAGAACAGCATACAATACAAAGCCTTGTATGCAACCTAAGAAAAGCAGTAACACTTCTCATAATTGCTGAGGGCTCAGGTCTGACATTATACAGAAATGCACCCAAGGGACCCAAAGGCATTGGCAATGGGCATGGCTGTACCAACCTGTACAGAGCAGGGCTTGCGTAACTGCCTTGTTCTGGTCCTCAGGCAGGGCAGAAAGTGCAGAGAGTGTGAGGCTCTGCCCAGCCCCCTTTTTGGGCACTTGCTGCAAAAACAAAGTCAGCACTGGGCACAAAATTGTTTTTTAGCTTCCTGTCCTCCTGCATCAGTCTTACAAAGCGCCCACTGCTCGAGGTGGCACTTAATGACACAATTTACACTTCAGGCACAGCAGTGTGTGGCTGTGGTTTTATAACACCTGCGTGTGCTCCAGGCCCTCATCACCCATGGGAAGCCTGACCTTGTGCACGTCCTTCACGCGGGGCGGTAAGTTATCCCGGATTCGGCGCATGGCCTGCAGTGGCGGCTCATTGAAGTAGGGAGGTTCACCGTCGATCATCTCTATCACCATGATGCCCAGAGACCAGATGTCCACCTGCAACACACAGCTGGTTCACAAACACGGCTGGTAGCACAGAGTGAAGAAACAGGCTTGGCATTTAAGGGTCACATAAACCCCAGAGCTGCAGACCAACTGCTGTCAGCAGCCATTTTAAGGTAGTAGTTGGGTGAACCATCCCCTTTTTCTTTTTAACCAGCTGATGACACTGAGTGCACTGAAGAAATGACATAGCAACAACATACAAACTGGGTCTGCAGCTGGTTGAGGTGAAGGCCACTGGGACACTGCTAAGGCATGCTTGTAGGATAGGCTGCCCGTGCCCTGCAGTGTGGCACTTGAGCTGCACCACTCTGAACCCACTGACTCTTTTCCCTGCACTGGCTCTGCAGTGCTACGGAAAAGTGCAGTGAGTGGAAACACAGCAGAGAACAGCTGCTGTGAAATCAGGTAGTATTTCCTTTGAATACTAACAACTGCAGCACCTCCTTCTTACCCCTTGGCAAACACAAGCACACACTACACCCAGGCTCATTTACAGCAATGGCAGGTAGCACATTATAAAATCCCTTTGGAAAATGATTCACTCCAGCTTAAAAAAAGAAACACCAATCTTTTTTTTTTGTCCCAGTCTGCTGCAAGCTGTTCCAGAACCCCACTCTGATGGCGGTAATTCCTGTCATCTGCCAACCTAAATATCATCAGGGCCACACCATACTTATTTTGCTCTTCTGCCAGCACTATCCTTCAGCTTAATTTTTCTTTTCTTTCCCTATTGGTGGGGAACCTAATGTAGCTGTAAATTCAAGCACTTTATAATCTCCTCAGTGTCATTAATAGACTAATAATAGATGATGTTATTATCCCTGAAATGTCCCTTACAACACCACACACTGGGGCAAATGCCAGTGCATGCAGGGTGCACTCGCAGGTAAGAAGCACGCCCTGCCTGGGCCAAACAGAGCACTTCTGCGTGTTCTCAAGATGTATCATCTCCTATCCCAGGCCTTGGCTGCACAGCTTGCTTCCACTCCTTTGTGTGCATATATACATGTGAGAGTACATCTCTCTCACATCTATGCAGCATGTATGTGTATATGCACACAAAAGTAAGCATATATATACACACACACACACAGACATATAGCAGGATTGCTCTTCGTAGCTGTTACTACAGGCACTATCAAGCAGAAGCTGACCAGGCAGAAGAAAATGCAGCTGTGTCCCGAGCTGGGGATTGAGATGCTGTCTCTGCTGAGACTGGATAAATCCCAGGCTGGCAGAGCAGAAGTACTGAGCCAGGTCCCACCAACCTGTCCTTTCTGTTCTGAGATCAAAGTCTCTGATAAAAACATATGGACTGCCTCTTTTTCAGAGGGGCCTGCAGTTCTTAAAACAGTTTTCACACTGTACTTTGTTATTTTTTTCCTCTTTCAACTAACTGGAGAATTTACTGCAATGAGAACACTACAGATTATGGCAACCCACCTCACCCAACCGGCTCTTACGTTTGGGATCCTAAAGGCCCATGGCTTTGCCTTTGCTAGCGCTCCCCTAGAGGCTGGGGAATCCAAGCTTTAAGTGGCTGAAAGCTCAGGGGGTCTCTCCTTGCATGCCTGTGAAAGTACTGATGTGACTTGGCCTCGTGGTGCAGCTGTGCACATTGGCTACTGGTCTGGTACATGGAGGGGTACATGCCTCTATCTGCAGTTTGCAGACTAACACAGAGGTCTTCCCCAGCATGCAAATGATGCCAGTTTTCTTTCACAGAGTACCCTAAGCTAAAGTACGTAAAGGCATTACACTGCTTAGAACTCTAAACAAGAGTTATTTGACCACACTTTACAAAGGAGTATGTTAACAAAGCACACAGCGTCACACTCTGGGGCAGACAGGAGTGCTGCTGTTCAGCACAGCTACATACAGCACCTCAACTTCTGTCTTCTCCCTGGGCTCAGTGGGTTTGACTGTGGCACCGTGTGCCACCCTGGGTGCCCTGCAGCACGTACCTCAGTGCCGTAGGGCATGCGTGATATCACCTCGGGTGCCATCCAGTACGGCGTCCCAACCAGCGACTTCCTCCGCGGCACCTCCTTGGACACCTGGGCACAGAACCCAAAGTCGGACAATTTGATCTAAAAGAGAGAAGAGAAAGCCTCTCTTGTGTAACAAGGAACGCACTGATCCGGCCAGATATGGCTTCCCCCTGGGAAAAGCCCTTGTCTCCTGCTGTAGCAGCTGGGATGGGGCAGCAGCATGGTTTTGGAAGTGAGGTTGGAGATGGAGGACGAGCCTGGAGAGAGCATGGCTGGTTACACCAAATGGAAGGCAACAAAGTGGCAGATGCTGGCAGCAGCGCCTGCTACTCAGATCACCTCTCATAGCTCCTTGTCATTCCTCCTGCAGAAGTGCAGAGGTGATCAATGGCCTGTAACTCAGAGGAAAGCAAAAATTCCAAGCATACAATATTATGCAAATATATTAACTCAGTGTTCGCAGTGTATGTGTATTTACTAATATTCAATACAATATCTATTGGAAGTGATTCATATCACTCCTACTATTCTATCAGCTTTGAGATCTGAGTTTGCCAGAAAAAAAGACGACCCCATGTTTCTTTTTCTACACAGAGCGTGATCTGACACTCCTAAAAAGAAATGCCCTCAACCAACAATTTTTCAAGTGTGCTGTGGCCTGCCCCTCGAAACGGTCATCTGTGTGTAGTAAGGGGCTTGAGGGAGGCAGGGATAGGTGGAAGACTCCTCCAAAATGGCTCCAAGAGATCAGGGACCTGCATCCAGTGCTGGGAACTTGGGAACTAAGGAAAGCATTGTCCTTGAGTAGCTGTGGCAGTGACCTGAAATAGAAATAATGGGATACACGAGCACTCTGGAGAGCAGCTCCTGCTGCATCATGTGCCTGCTCATACTTAGATGCAGGTGTTTTTTTTTTTTTTTTTTTTTTTTTTTTTTTTTTTAACCAACAAAAATGCAGGAAAATTATGACCTTCCTCCTCCCCCACTGCTGTACAACATGAAGGTGAAAATTCCTCCAAACTGGGCCAAAAATCAGCTGGCATGACTTTTGTGGCAACGCTGCCTTCCAGAGACCGCTTGCTCCTCAAGGCAGCTTATGCATTCATTTTTCCAAGTATTCTTCTGGAGGCCTGAAAGCCACCCTTGGGCTTTTCCTGGAAGCTGCTCCACATGAGGGCAGCCCCTGGTCCCTCAAGCTATGCCCCACAAGTGCAATGGCAGCCGGCACCCAGTGTCCATGAGTCACCAAGCCAGCTGTATGCTGGCACCTGGGGATGTGCTGTGAGCCCAAACGGCCCCAGCACAAGTCAAGTGGGAAGTTCCATCAATTGCTGCATTGTGTAGAGCAGCAGTTTATTATGAGCTCTGATTTGTTTTTCTTTTGGATTTAGTACAGACCCTACTTTAAAAAAAAAAAAAAAAACAACTATGGGTATTATTTAGCCCAGAATTACAAAATGATTGTTGGTATTTCTAAAACAAAGCCACCAACAGTCAAGTCCTCCAAGCTAAACATATTTTTTCAGTTTACAGGATGAAGAATGGAAGAAATAGTGAATTTTGGAAGCAGAGCCCAGTCTTCTTTTGTAGGAGCACAAGAGGTTTTGCATATCTATTGCTTGTTCAAGTACATAAAAGACGACGATTTTCTAAAAAAAGATAATTACACAACACAGCCATGAAGAAATCTGCAATGCAGATAGTAAGTACCAGAGTAATAAGTATAATGAGGCACTCTATGGAGGGCCTGAAAGCAGTTCAGATGCTATTTCAGCAACATGGATCAAAACTGCAACTGAAAAAACTCAAACTCCTATACATGTGGAATTTTCTCCCCCAGCAAGGTTAGCAAGGCTGGCCTGTGACGGCTGCAAGAAGGAAATCCCTCTCTCGGTGATGTGGGAATCAAATGTAAACTACATGGGAGAGAACTGGATCAGGCCTGAGAAGCCTCAAGTTTCATCTTCAGAAGATGATGGAAGATTTGGGTGCTCTTGGTCTCATTCTGACCCACTCACTACATCCTGCTTTGGGTACATGTGTAATCCCACTGCAGCAACCCTGAAATCCTACCTATGGGAATCCCTGGGCATGACTGAACTAGTTAAAACAGAGCTTATGTATATAAAAGCTTGCAAACTAAAAGATCACTGAAAGTAATAAAAAGACAAACTTCTGTAAGGCTTCAAAGTAGGAGTGGGGCAGAACTGAAGAAAGTTGCCCATTACCTAAGCATCAGCCTTTGGCATAGTTTCTTCTGCCAGTGTCTCCCAGGGGCTGTAATTCCCCATGGGGACTCTGCATGCAGTACAGATGTCAACCACTGGCCAAGCCTGTGCTTTTCTGATTCAGCTCTCTAGCAAGACTGAAGCTGTCATTTTGCAGGTCTGGCTCAGAGCCTGCTGTAGAATCCTACCTGGAGCTCAACCTCACTATACACAACCCTATTCCTCTCATATAATCAATAAACCCTACAAAGGATGAGGCTATTTTTCCCATTATCTGATAGCATTTTGTCTTACAACAGATTAGGATCAGAGAAACAGAGGGACCCAAATCTCCCACTTTCCTCCCAGATAGGAAGTAGAAAACTAAACTGCATTTTCCTTTCCTCTTTATTTACTCCCTTTAGCTCAGTCACCCTGGCTGGGCTTTGAGGGGAAGGCAGCAGTACTCTGTCAGTGCCACAATGTACTGTCCTGGTGAGGGGCACAGATTCCCTGCCAGAGACTGCAGGGATGACATCCTGGGTTTAAATCCTCCACTAACCCATGGTGGCCAATGTTTGCTACAGTGGAGTGTGGAGACCCACGGGCGAGGCGGCATTTTGGGCAACCCTTGCTCTGCACACGACATGCTGCCAACGGCTCTATGACTGGCCAGGAGCAATGGGCTGGACATGGGCCACTTCTGTTCAAGTGCTTGTTTGGCTGCACTAGGATCAGGAACCAAGCTCGTATGCACTACGACTCCTGGCATGGAGCAGAAGAGCTGCTCAGAGACTCAACTTCTGTATTTTTATTTTTTTTGGAAGTTGGCAAGCCATGTGCACAGCTGTTTTTGTAACAGACCTCTTCAACCCCTGAGGCAGACCCCTTGTGTGCCAGCCAGAGACGGCAGGAGAAATGCTCAGCACTCACCCGCCCATCGCTGGTGAGGAGGATGGAGTCACTTTTGATGTCACGGTGGATGACACCCTGGTTGTGCAGGTAGGACAGAGCTCTCAGGACAGACAGGCAGACAGTCGCTATCTGCTCCTCGTTCATCCTGAAACAGCAGAATGGAAAAACATACTGAGCATTAAGGAAGAAAGCAGGAAAGGGGAGCTGGAGTGGAGAAGCCCAGGTTCCTGTTCACACCAGTACATGAATTATTTCTGTCAGGAAAGAGAAATGATGGGTGAGGAATAATTCTGCAACGAGGCTGGAGCAAGTCCCTGTGTAGAATTAAAAGAGCAGAGTCTATTATGTGATACAGTGTATTACAGTGAGCCTGTTTCCCTATGGGAAATAACAGAAATGCCTTATTTACAGTAAAGTTCCTGCTTGCCAAGGAGAATAAATGACTACTGGAATGGAATCAGGCATAGAATGAATATAAGAAACATCAGGCCTTGGGCGTAACTTTAAGAGCATTACCCTTGCCTTTATGATTATTATAACAAATTGAAAGCATTTCATAGAAGAAAATATACAGCAAGAGAATTATCAAGTCCTCATTTCTGTGCACATGTGAAAAGCCCTGCCATGGAAAAAGCTGCTGCTGCAGCATGGCAACAATTGACTGAACAGGTCAGTCATGCACCACAGCTGGGTGTCCCCAGCTTCACCACTACTCCAGCCCTAAGGTATTTCTGCTCTAAACTTTGTGATGCTATTTGGAGTATTTCAGCAAAATCTTTCAGAGAAGGTCACATAATGAAACAAACAAACAAAAAAAAACCCACAACAACAAAAAACACCCTCAGAAGATTAAGGAATGTCTATTTTGAGTTAAAAAAATAGATGACAGCTCTTAAGAAGTGGTGTCCTGGGAACATCTGTTTGCCATTAAACTCCTGTCAGAAATATCTCCAATGGAACTTTCAATGTTTTGGGGAGCAGCAGTTAATAAATGGCTTGCAATATTATGCTGTATTTCAGCACATCAGCTAAGGCAACATTTCAAAATAAAATACCATGAACTTTTTTTTGTAGGATCTATGAGGATCACTAAGCTGTGAAAGAAGACAAATTTTAACGCCTAATTTTCTTTTTGCTTCCTGTCTCGCTCACCTAAGTACTCTCCCACTGAGCTGTTGTGGAAGTTAAGTTGTTTTATTCTAAATGAAGAAATTAGAAAATTCCTCCTTCCTATCCCATTTGGTCCTGCTCAGCAGAATGAGGTGAGCAAGGAGTGGATGTAAGACAGGCTTTAAGATCCAACTCAAAGAAGAACTGAAAGAGAGGTTCAGTACACTACAGCCTCTCTACTGGTCAAGTGCCTTATTTAAAGGCATGACATTAACTGAATTTGGGAACCAGCTCCACCGTAAGCACAAATGCTGAGAGACAGAAAAATACTTTTTCCATTAGGTGTCAGGCTCAGTTTGTAGTTAATGCTTCTGACAGCATGGCTACGTGGGTTATGAGTATCAACAGAAATCAACCCCAAAACTGACAGAGTTACAAAAGCAAAGCCAACACTACAGATCACCATACAAAGAAAAGGAGCTGCCTTCCCCGCGCCCCCCCCCCCCCCCCAATCATTTGGGGAACTAACAGATAAAGGTAATCTCTGCTACATTAACATCGAGAGCTCTGGCAGATCTCTGCCTCCCAGCAAGCCCTTCCAGATATTCCTTTTCCTTCTTTTTAAAAAACACCTGCACTGACAGAAAGCCATCTGCAGTGGCACAGTTACGCTGGTACTGTGAGCGTGCCACAGTATGCGTACATATACGTATGTGCATGCACATACAGCATATTATAGACATATCTGTACACATACACAGCCATAGCCACACATACATACAGTTGTGTATGCACCACTGGGATTGCCTGCTGCTCGCAGCCCACCTGGTGTGAGTCACGATGTCTGTCAGAGCACCGCCCTCCAGGAACTCCATCACCACCCACAGCTCGTCGCTGACAAGGTAACTGTTGTACATGTCAACCACGTTTTCGTGATGGTAATCTCTCATGATTACAACCTGTGAGAAAAAAAAAAGATGAGATGTGAATTGCTGCAAGCACTGACACTTGTTTTGACCTTTTTCACTGCACTTTTCTTTTTGTGAACCTTAGTAAAGGTTCTGCTATGAATCACAGTCTCACGGATCCTCGTGGCAGTGCACAAACAAAATCCATGTATATACATAAAGTAACAGTCATGGTAAACACATCAGGAAACAGGAAGAACCTTTAGCTGCTGAATTGTAAGTGGCAGATAATTGTGTTGGTTGTTTTTTTTTTCCCCATGCTGCAGGACCAGGACTTGTTATTTCATTGCTTCCTTACTGCCAGCTGTTTTCAGTACAACATTTATTTAGATCAACTGCTCAGCTCAAAGTCTTCTTCATCAGGAGAAAACTGTACCTTGTACAGTACTTTAACAGAAAGCTGGTGATACTGTGGCTATTCATCTCCTAGCCCCCGGCAGAGGAGTGGAACGATGTGATCTTTGAAATCCCTTGCAACCCAAGCCACTCTATAATTCTATGACTCAACACTAAAGGGATCTGAGGCCCCTGGGTCACAGACCACAGCAAAGGTAATAAAATGGAAAGAAGAGCACACAGGTCAGGGACACCTCAGAGTTGTGGGGTTAGTGAGCAGATGGCCTGTATGCACTATGGCTGAAGTGGCTGGGAAGAATTGAGCTCTGTTCTGCTGCTGGGTGCTCCCAAACTGTGAAGTACTCTACATTGCGCTACCATATAAATAAAATTAAAGAACTACAAAGATATAGCTTTTCTCATTCCTTGCTAGTTTAGTTTGCCTGGAAATGGAATAATACCTTCACTTAAATCTGAATGATTGAATACAATGGAAAGGATAATTGCTAATGTAGAGTCACAGTTAAACTTTTAAAATGCTCTGCAGTTGTCAATCATAATGGCAAGCATTGGAATAATTAATATCTCGAGGCCTGGTAGATAGCTGAATCTACAGGTGCCAAGATAGCTCTGGCACCTGTGCCTCGTGCCAGCCTGTTCAGTCATTCTTTGAGCACAGTGCAATGCTGCATCTCAGCATCTACAGCCCTTCCTTTCTGAAGGTGATTCATATGCAGGAATTTCTGTACTTGTGAAATTTCCTGGGTTCATTTATTTCCACAGACAACTGTATTTTGTCTTGAATTCTAATGCTTTGAGTTACTGAGTGTAGTGCTGTAACGCAATGGAAAATGCTGCAATGATAGCGCAGTAGTAAAGTCCTAGGCTGCAGCAGGGGAGGATAAGCTCAAATGACACAACTACGAACATACAAACAGGAAAAAAAGAAAAAGATCTGCTTACCCTTAGAAGACCTCAAGCACACAGGGATCTCCAGTAAGATCCTTTTGCTTCCACTGCCAACCCTTAAATGAGGTATGAGATGGGGTGGATCCTGGCTCCAGCCCTTCTGGTCACTCAGGTACATTGCACACACCTGAGCTCCCTGGGGTGGCCTGCCTTCCTACCAGGTGCTCAATCACTGGTTCAGGCCATGACTTACCATTTCTGCTAGACTGAGGTTCTAAAACTAAGGAGGAGAGCTGGCAGTTTGGGACAAAGACTTTTCCAGAGTGTAGTCATGAAAAACACTGTGCTCTTGAGGAAAGCCTAAGGCAAGACTAACAAAGCTCAAAGAGAATAAGTTCACTTGAATGATTACAGCTTCATTTGAATATTACCATAAAACAGGTGCTGAGCCAGGCGTATGCATGCTTTATGAGAGTGCTGTGAGCTCAACCGCCATATCTAGAAGTGAATATACAGGGAGGGACTGCACTAAGAGCACCTCAGCCAAGGTGTCGACAACTGCACGATATTGAAGGATGTCAAGAGAGGGGACAGGGATAGAAAACATCAGCCAGGGAAGGCTCTGATCACCCCTGTGTAGATGGAGGGAGGTGCTGAAAATAAATTTTCAGATTACACAAGTGACTGGAGCATGTCAGGGAAGCAGATCGGTCCTGCACAGCTTGTTGGACTGCTTCATGATGTCAGCACTCAAGAGATGCTCAGTTAGAGCTACTGCAAAGCAGTTCAGTGCAGTCTTCCAGCAGAGGTAAAATTGAGTCAAAATAGCCAGTGTAATCACAGGTTGCAGAAAAGACAACTGTGCAAAAACAAGCAAGCTTTTGTTAAAAAGCTTCTATAAGGCAAAGATCAGTCTGGTGCAGACGGCCCCAAGTGCTCCAAAGCAGACAGCACTCTGATCAGTGTACTCATAAGGGATCCCCAAAAAGCAGAGAATACTGAACACTAACTTCTATAGGGGGGGAGAAGTAGGAACTCTTCCAATTTTAGAAGGAACTCAGAGAATTAAAGAACTGGAAGAAAAAATGGCGAATGAAATTCAGCGTTCTTAAATTTAAGATAAAACACACAGAAAACAATTCTATAAAAATTGCAGTGGTCTCCAAACTGGCTATAATCTCTCAGGAGATGTGGGATTTAATATAGCTGGTCCTATGAAAAAGGGTTTGGCAGCTCTTTGCTTAGTAACTATCAAGAAAGGAAAAGGATCACACGTGATTAGGTGGGGAGGGATACGCCAGAGTATGGTTTGTGTGCTTCTTCAGTATTAGGGTCAGTTAGGCTCCTCCATCTCAGCAGACTAAACCATACCAGAAATGGTCCAAAGAAGGCAACCAGGCACCTGATAAGCTGCGTGGATCAGATGACAGATTTCTTACTTGTTTACTGTGACTTCCCACCACGTTATTATAGGTTCAAACCTGGGAGAAGATGTAGCTCACTTGAAACTGATCTGATTATTTCAGACACCATGAAGTGTAGGACTCAGCCCTCTATTTTAGAAAGACATTAGTTTGGCATTGTGGCCTCTGTTCAGATCATGTCTTATGCTGCACTGCCCACAGCAACATACCTCATTGAACAGCAGCTCCCTCCTCTGCTGTTTCCTGAGATCCATTTTCTTCACAGCGACTTGCTTTCCTGTGTGCTTCTCGGTGGCAATGCAGACTATCCCTGTGGAGCCCTCCCCGATCTTGATGAAGCTGTCCAAGTACTCCCGGGGATCACCAGGGCTGACGACCAGCTGCAGGGCAGCCCTGAACTGTTCGTGGGACACCCTGGAGGGCTGCTGGTCTGAGGAAGAGCCCCAGCTGGGCGGGGGATAAGCACTTGATGTGATACTTGGGGAGCTGGGGTAGGAGGCGGTGGAAATATAGGGAGAGCTTGGCTGGAGTGATGGCTGGTGGTAGTGGGATGCTTTGTGGTAGACCAGAGGGTACTGGTAGCTGCTGCTGGAATAGCTGACTTTACTTTGACTTTGAGGTAGCTTTACTGGGCCCCTTGGGTAGGTGTCCGATCCAGAGAGTGGTGGGCTAACTACCAGCTGTGCTCGGTCGTAATCCACCTGCAACACAAAAGCAGAGGAGTGGACATGAGTGAAAAGCTGGGTTTCCAACTGCCTGGCCAACTCCTGACCGTTCAGTTCACTTTCTGCACCCCAGATACACTCGGCGGGATGCCAGCACAGCTCACTCCTGCATGGACTCGCTGTTCTGTAAGTGACACTGCTGCCTGCAGATTTTTAGACCGTTAGGCTGCCTGCTCTCTCCTCACTACTAGAATGAGTAAAGTAAAGACCACTTGGTTTTTTGTATATCCCAGGTTCTTTTTTACGTCCATGCACCCATTTGGAAACACGGTAATCTTTGTTAAATAAAAGTATATGGTCCAAAGGAATGCATTTACTCTGTATTTGCAGTGCCCTGCAGGTTGTCTGGGCCATTTCCTCCAGTGAAGCATCTCTTTAAAAACAAAAAGCCCTTTCACAAATTCAAATTCATGTCTTTCCTCCCAAACACAAATTTCTGAATTTTGACTCTCACCCGTTTGTCCTTTCTTTTGCTTTTTTCTGGTGATACAGGAATGACCTCTTCTCGTGGAGGTGGTGGTACCCTGAAATTCCCCCAGCCTCTGCTGTGCCCCATCACCAGCTGCTGGCTGAGCCACCGCAGAGACAGCACAGCCCTTTTATCTTTTCTTTTTTTATCCTGTTCAGTGTCGTATAGCTTAAAATAGCCAGGCCTTCCCCACCATCCCCACAAGTGGAAGCAGGGCTGCAGCACCCTCTGACCATGGCAGTGTAGCAGCACAGAGAGAGCACTGCAGACCACAAACAAATGGCAGAAGAGCACCAAATTCAAAGCATGGGGACACATCACAGAGAGCTACAACCAGGGGAGCATGTAACCTGCCTGAGGTGAGAGGAGAGCTGCTCAGTGGAATCTTCAAAGGGACTTCCTCCAAGCAAACTAAAACGAGGCTACTAATTCAATATACCATTACTTAAGTTTTCCAGAGTGACACACTACTTAACTGCAGTGTTGCAAAACTGCTAATTTTCATTTCAAACAGGAGACAATCGTGAGGAAATTATCCCAATGGGAGGCCTTTGTCATCTGCAGGTTCCTTCCTTCCCTTGTATTTTCCCTAGCTTTTCTAAGCTACTTACACTGAAAGTCAGCAAATATTTTACATTCATAAACAGAACTGTCTCCATCTGTGCAAAACAGAAAAGGATCTAAGACAAAAAAATGCACCTGAAACAAAAGTATTATTTTCTTTTCCCAGAAAAGGGCATCTCCACATTTATGATATTCCGTATGTGACTCCTGACAACACGTGGGGCACTGCGGGTGGGGGTGGTCAGACACAGGCTCATGATGTAGCACAATTACAAATAATTACGGCAATGAATTCATTTAATCAATCAATTTCCGTGGCGGCCCACAGGGATGGACAGCGCAACAACCCCGACACAGCTCACGGCAGCTACTATTGCTGCTGGCTGCTGGCCAGGAGTCCCTGATCCATGTTAGTTAAATGCACATTAATCTGAATTTGGCAGTGTAATCAAGGACCCAACTGAACTGTGAAATTGAATTCTGCGCTGGAACATCATCTGACCGTTTTATGCGAAGACTGCAAAAAAAAAAAAAAAAAAAATCTGCCGCAGCATCAATCTATCACTGTAGGCTGCTGCACAGCCAGGAGGAGATTCTAGCTGGAGTCACTGGGCTGCGGGGAGAAAAGCCTCGGAATAAAGAAGTGCAGTGCTGTATCGGTGCTGCTGGGCGCCGTGTGTGAGCCGGGCATGCCCTCCTGGTGTCCTGCTGGTTAGTGGGGCACAGGGATGCCTCTGCATGAGAGCTGTGCAGGCACTTCCATCGGCAGCGTGCGGCTGCAGGCAGCTGTGTGAGCTCCCAGCTGCACGGTGCCCACATCCAACCCTGGCAGCGCTGCACAGCCGCTTCCTCGGGTGCTGTTTCTGTATGAGCGTGACACACAAATGCTTACGGTCAGGATTTCACTTACGCAGCTGTGAGATAGAAGGGGGTCAGAGACATCGTGCGTTTCATGAAGGACGTGACATCTGCCCAACTAATTAACGCAGAAAAGCGCTCAGATGGTTTGGTGGAGGGAAGGGCACTCAGTCCAGCCCTGTCCTATATGTCTGTGTACACAGAGCCACACAAATGGTTGCTTTGACTGAAAATACACCATTTTTATATCAAGATGGGAAAAGCCCGGTCTAAAACTAAAACTAGATAAATCCGCATCAATGGATTGTGACTGGGCATCACCCACACCTGCCCTTTTCTGAGCATGCCCCACATGTCAGGAAAAACAAATTCCACAGTGAAATTTTAAAAGCAAAATCGAGATGTTCAGCATGCTTTTCTGAAAGCTTTCTGCAGTTTGTGTTTCGCGCTCCTGCGGTACAACCATTCACTTCCTGCACCCCATGCAATCTTGCTGAAGTAGAGGAGCCCAAGCGACTCCATCAGCCTAGCCTCTCCTCCTCAGCCATGTCCTCACACAGTTCTTCACAGCGTGGCAAAATTAAGCACACTTGATTCCACTAATAATGCCATGATTCCTGTTATTGAATGCAATTACATACTGAAAGGCAAGTCTGTAAATACTACAAAGGACAGTAAAAACCAGCCCTGCTCTCATTCAAGATCAGGTCAGGGGAGCAGCTGAAGTCACAGCCTGCAATGCAATGCGGTGTGCTGCCGCTCATCTGGCTGCAGCCTTACTCAGGTCTGCACACGGCCACCTCAGCAGCCAGGTATGACACAACACATCTGAAACCTGCTGCCAGAACAGGGATGTGTCTCCTTTATCTGACATCTGTAATAATACACATCTGCACCTACTCTTCAGATTTACAAGTCAAAACGCACATCTTTGTTAAATGCATTTTGAAGATGTACATTTGTGCCTGAGGACTTTTTCAATGCTTCCTTTCCCCCCCTTTTAATTATACTTTAAAGCCAATTTCATTTGTACAATATCTGATTTGAGACTCGATTCTCACTTAGTAAACCCATTTAATGAACCATTTTCTTACTAATGCCTCCTTGAAAAGAAGATTCCTTAGCAATCATCCAAGACACGAAGCTGATATTCACTTCCAGGAGTTGCGGATGGGTCTGGGAATTGAAACTGCTGCATTTAACAGTGAATCATCAAGTTTCAATATACCAAGGCTACATGAGGGCTTTTGATGCTCAAAGGAGAGCAATGGCTCAAAATGAATCTTGCACTAAGGCATCTTTTTCTTTAATAAAAGTTGTTACTGCATTTTAATGGGATATTTTACAAAGTGTCTGCAGTGCTCTGAGTCCTGTGAAATACACCTACACCCTCCATCTTATTGAATGCCATAAATCTGGAAGGCACAGGAGAGTTTATGAGCTATTGCTGGATTTGTCCTTCCTCTTTCTCAACTCTGACAAAATGATTGTTTTAAAAGAAAGAAATGGCAGGTAGTCCATCCCAACCTTTCTTCACAAATTCCAGAATCTGTATTTTAGCACCACACTCTTGCACACAGTTAACTACATATAGGCATCCCTCCCAGCAAACCCCAAACTCAGACAAGGCACAGGAAGAAAGCTAGCAACCTTTCTACCCCCCCCCAGTATTTACACTCAAACTCAAAAGCCCAACTCTATGCTTTAACACAATCAGCACCTAAAAAAAAAAAACCAAAACACTGCTCTCCTTTTGCCACAGGATGCTGACAGTGACTGCAGCCCAGCATCAGCAAAGTAGCCAAAACCTAAGCAAAATGCAGGCATGCCTCTGGTTTGAAGCCATGCTGTATTTGCAGAGGTTTGAGATGACATAGGGTCTGAAGTTGGACAGGACCAAGTTCTCAGTGCACAGAGGCTGTAAGAAAATGCACTGTTCAGACACCATCATAAGCAGAAGAGCTATCATTGTGTGACGACTACCAAGCTCAGCACTTCTGGCAAATCACAACAAGCTTGCTGCCTGCTGCTAAGGGAACCCAGTAACATTAAATGAAATACACACCAAAGGAAAAACCATTTCTTGCAGAATATTAATTGTTTAAGCAGGTCTTTGTTTGAGCAGTGTGACATGATGGATAAGAGATTCCCTTAGCTGATCAAGGCTGCAAGGAAGCAGGGTAAGGTAGGATAGCTTGTGTGGGTAATACTCTTCATGCAACTTAGAAGAGGCAGAGCAGACCACAGTTTCTGCAGAGGAGCTGCTTGTAGGTATCACAGTGGAGTTGCTTTTCTGTCTTGACCCTTATTTTTGTGTGAGGAGACACTTGGATTTTATTCCACTGCTTGAAAAATGAAGGGGTGAGGGATAAGTCCCTTCCCTCACTGGTGGGAAAGGGTTAATGAATCTCACAGTACACATACTCACTTGCCAGACTGGTGGCTGTGTGGGCTGGTATGAGCTGGCTCAGCTGCAGGCAGCTCCTCTGCCTAATAGACATGCTGGGATCATGGCTGTCTTCCCTCAGCAAACCAGAAACGCTTTTCTAAGTGGCACAGAGATGTCAGCAACAACGACTCAAATACAAAAAGAACCTGACGTTCAAAGCAAACCAACTTTCCAGCTCTGCCAACATCTGCATTAGCATACGAACTTCTAATCGTAGGTAAACTGCTAAAGAACTTGGGTTTTTCAGAAATCCCAAGTAAAACTCACGGAAGTTGGGCATCTCCAAACTGTTCTTTGAATAAGTATCTTAAGCCTCTGATCCCCAGCATCTGTTTTCAGTTACCCAAGTGAACTGAGTGGGGTTTTATATCCACCAAAGCAGTCACACGCTTCCTACCACTGTGTTTCCATGCACAGCTCCACACCCTTAACATTTTGCACATGCCTAATTTTTTGTATTCCCATTTTGGAAGGGTCCCTGTCCTAGCAGTACCAACACCAGGGCCTTAACATTACCTTGGAGATGCCTGCTGCAGTTTCAGACAAGCGAGGGTAGGTGTAGGAGCTGTAGGAGTGTCCATGCTGGTGTGCTTTAAATGCACTTGCTCCATAGGGCATGGCTGGCTCCTGCAGACCAGAGCCCGACCTGGACCTCTGCCTCATGGTTGGCTGAGGGCTCGCCGGGTCCACGTAGGATGACTTGGGCCTCTTGTCATAGTCATCCTTGGCTGGGCTGTGCCCCCAGTCGCCGTCGCTGTACTCCAGCCTCTCCTTGGGGCACTCGCTCTGCACTGACGCTCGGGACAGGGCGTAAGGGAAGGGGTCTCTGTAGTCCAGTGAGGATCCACTGGGAATCCTCTGGTACTCCAGCTTTAGACCTCCATATTCGAGTGGTTTGGGCTTCGCCTCCACTTGTGCATGGTAATCTGGGAGGAACCTGGAGAGGTCTGATTTTAGGGGTGTCATTTCTGAATAATAGATGTCTCTGGAAGTGACCTTCATCATGTGCCCATTCTGCTTGGCAGCGTAGCCCCCTTTGTAGTACCTGTCTAGCTCTTCCCCATAGAGAGTCTTGTCTCTATACTTGTCCATGACATAGTCTGTTGTGTCTGACTCACTGGAGTACTGCGAATATGTGATGTACCCATTTTCCTCCTGGTGCCTTGGCACATGGTTTGCATTGCCTTGGTGGTGTGTGGGAGGACTTTCCTTCCGCAGGGAGTTGGATCGAGTCACGGAGATATTGTCAAACTCTTCGAGCAAGCCGTTGATTGAAGTATCCTTCCGAGGCTTATTTCCTCTAACAATAGTCTGGAAATAAAAAATTGCTTTGATTAAATACTGACTTTCACTTAGTATCTGACCAACAAAATGACTGAAGTCTGTGATTCACCCAGGAATACACGTGGTGATGCATCACATTCTTCAGACACACACCTCACAATAACCTGTTGCCGCAAAAAAAAGCCCTCAAGAAGTACAACAGAACATGCAGAAATGAACAAATGCGGTGTCCACCATAAGCTCAGATTTAACATACAGCTTCAACTTAAGGTATGGCTGTGCTGCATTGAACAGCAGAGACATTTAAGAGCACTACTTGTGTTTTAAAAACTAGGTGTGACTAAATTAGCTATTATTCACTTGTTTGCTTCAAGGCAAGCTGGTACCCTAGTTTGCAGAGTATAGAAAAGTAATAATATCATTCACTGCCAACTTCTCCATGCTATTTTAGCAAACTGCTGGAGTGGAAAGTAGCATGTAATTTATCAAGTCCCATGTTGTTTTTTTGTTGTTGTTGTTTTTTTTAACAGTGTACTACTGTGTGCCAGAATTACCACCAGGAACTGCCTCTTCATTAATTTGGCATGAGACACACACAGGGAAGATGAAAAATAATACCTACCTTCGCCTCCTTACAATATGTAGCATCTGGTAAATCCCTGTGCATGACCATGGCTTTGAGATAACTATATGATGGATGCCATGTGGCAGTGGCCCTATCTGTGTCCTGATACAGTAAAACTCCCTTAGATCCCCCAGTCCTGGATGAGGAGGGCTGAGAAGCACTGCAGACACAGATCGGCTCCTACCCACTGCCCCTTCCCATCCTTACTCAGCTCTTTCCCAAACAATGGTCCTAGCATTAGGATGGAAACAAGCAGTACTTAGTTAGAGCTCTCCTTCAAGATAACCTGACTATTTTTAGCTAGCACCATCTGAAGACTGTAACAAGTTATTGCATCAATTCAGCAGTTGACTCCCACTGAGCACTGCGTCATGTTTATAAATGCCCTGCAAGAATAAGATGTACAGATTGAGGACCAGGGCCATAAATCAGCACGGCTCTATTGAAACAAAACTTCCTTTGCTGATTCATTTCAGCTAAATATCTGAGGTATCTTATTTAACTCAGTTTCTAAATGGAGTCGCTGTGGCCATCCCAAGCTGTCTTTCTGCGAGCAGCTTGCCTGTGCTGCACACTGATAATGGTGCACCGTGCTGAGTCCAGCCTGGCTCTGGCCCTTCCTCCACTGCAGCACCACAGACATGGCTGTATCAGAAATGCATCCCTGTAAGCCTGACCCAAGGCTGATGATGAAGCAGCACCAACAAGATAAAACAAGGAAACATCTGTAAAAGGAGACGGTGCACCAACAGGGTCTAAAGCCAAATGCTTCCATACAAAGCAGGTGGCTTCTCCAAATGCAATGACCAGCAGCAGAGATGGGAAGGGCTCTGCAGCACAAGCAATGCGGCCCTTTGTATTGCATCCTGAACTCAATTTTTTGTCTAGGAAAGGTCTGCAATGCAATCAGAAGATAGGATAGGGCACAATTTCTCTTTTAAGAAAAGTCTGGTCCTCTTCCTCATCTCTCTTCAACTCCTGCTTTGCCCCATCACTGCTAAATCGACAGCAACATACTTCTCTGTTATTCAGAAAAAGACAGCTGAGTAAAGCAGGGCAAAGCAATCCTGACCTCCGATTGATCCCTCCTCTTATTTATGTCTGTAATTACTTGCCTGGTTTGCTATTTTGAATCTGGCAATACTGAAACAATAGGACAGAAAAAATCAGGATCAGCAAATAGATCACTCCTTTTGCTTCTGAAGCATTCAGCAATGCGAAAGGAATTCGTTTCGTTAGGCTACAGCCGCTTTGGCAGGATGAATGCATGATCATTCATATTTAATTATCACATAATAAAACAGCACACTCAACAATGAAATGCTCTTAATTGAAAACAAGATTGAAATACCCAACTGCCATCTTGCTTCCCCAGTGTAAAATCATGCCAAGGAGTAAAAAGGCCAATTTAATGATCTCTGTGGGACCAGCCTGCACAAAGCAGAGGTTTCCCGGAGCAACCTGTATAGCGCCCGCACAAAAGGACCTCAGAGCCAGAGGGAACCCCCGGGAGCAGAATGGCCTCTCTGGTTAAAGGAAAGGGGTGTTTCCCTCCCTTTCCTCCAAACAGATGCTCTTTCAAAGCAGTTTTTTAAATGCAGATGCTTACGGGATATGGGTGATGAAGAATCACAACCAGGCATCTCAGCCTGCGTTGCAAGGAAATTCCAGAAGAACGAAGCCAAAGGATTATGTGTTTTGGAATTCATCAATGACAAAAACCCAATGTTTAGGGATTTTCTGCAGACAGAAGCCACCGTTTTGACTGTGAGGATTACAAACAGGTTTCTTAGTATTAGTAAAATTGTCATGTAGGAAATCCTGATTTACCAAAATGGGCATTTGCCACTGAAGCTCTCATCTGTGAAGAAGCCTTGGTTACCCCTGTGATCTCACAGCAACCTAATCCTGATCAATGAAGGGGACTAAGATCTCAAAAGCCCTTGTTTTCTACAGCAGCCTGCGGACAAACACTGGGAAACACTGACTTGCAAGAATGATGGTTGGAATTCTCTTTGCTTTGGGCTCTTCTCTACCAGTAAATGAGAAGTGCTGGAATCAACCCCTCAGGCCGAGTGGGTTTACACGTGCTGGCGTGGCTCTGCATGGCCGAATGCTCTCAGCCTGAAAGCAGCATCTGTGACTTGGGGAAAAGTCTGCCTGGTGCTGACTGTGCCTGGGGCTGGTTTAGAAGGATGCTCCCTTGCCCAGGTGAGGGGCTTGAGCAGCTGAATAGCACAGATTTTAAATTTCATTAGCTGATGACAATCCTTGGCACTGTTTCATCATACAAGTACAGTCCTTCAGTGCGAAGGGAGGATAAAATTTACCTATCCGAGAGGAACACAGCAAGTCTAGATTAAAATGCCTTGGCAGTACTGGCTGAAATCTGCAACCATGTCAGTGAAGCACTGCCACTGCTGGTGTCAAAGCCACACCGCTGTCATTACCACAGCAAACTAAGATGTGAAAGTCATTTGCTGTGAAGAAACATAAAAGAAGAAAGTATGATATTAAGGCGATGCATTTTTACGGAATAGCCAGTGATATTATTATTACATTATAGTTACTGTTCTTATGCCATCGTTGTCAATATGTCTATTTGCTTTGGTTTGTTTTTAAATTTAGTATTTCCCTTACATGAAAGAAAATACATCTTGTTGACATGCCCCTACTGCTTAATCAGACAGCCTATTAGAGCTTGACTTCTATTTTTATTTTATTAAGAAAACTTCTAGCACTACTGCTATCAAATAGAACTTGTGATGCTTACACACAGTGCCTCCCTGGTGGGCACAGTTAATTCTTCATAATTTAGTAGGCTTAAAAAAACAATTAAAATCCCAAAGCAGGCATTATTCTATAAAAATAATAAACTGCTCTGTAAAGATGCCCACAGAGCATCAAAAATGACCAAGTGAGAGGCACTATTTCTAGAGAACAACGCTTACATTAGGCAAAGTTAACTCCTTCTGAAGTCAGAGGATCTATACACTGGGGCTCACCAGCACCCTGCAGTTTTCCTATGAACTGCAGGATTTGCAGAAATAAGTCAGACTGAAAACTGCCCTAACTATGGCCCAAATTTCCCAACTGAAGCCTAGTGTTAACCAGAAGTAGCCAGGTACAAAGGCATGTGGGAGTACTGGGGAAAACCCAAATGCTGACATGGCATTCTCAGTTGGGGAACTCAGCACGGTTACTGCAGCGCCAGGCTGCATGTGCAGGGAAAGGCTCCTTGAGACTGAAACACAACAGCAGGAGCAACAAAAGACGGAAAAATTTACTTCTTAAAAAGCAAAAAAACCCAACAAACCAAACAAAAACACACACACACACAAAACAGCTTAAAAAGCAAAACGAAAACCCTGAAAGAAAACCCAACAAAAAAAAAAAAAAAGGGATACAAACACAGTTTGCCTGGTAATACCAGGCAATTAATTATTCATTTTTGAAAGGCTTTATAAGCTGAAAGAGACAACTTCTATTTGCATACAAACAAGGAATTCCAAAGTTGCTGCAGGCAACGCAGCCAGTTACAAGCAATGCAATATTCGCAAAGGTTGATCCGCTAAGATTTATGAGATCTTTGTTCGTGTCTATTGAGATCATGTAATGGAAACCTGTACAGTGCCCAGGCATGCATGAAGAACAGAAATCAAACCCCACTAGCAGGTGCAGCCTTAACCGGATTCTACCACAGAAAGGTGGGATTTGTTACAGTCAATACCCTGTGTTCATTAAAGGATACTTTTCAAAGCGCTGCGTAATTTAGGATGGATCAATGTTAAAACAGATGAGAGAGTGCTGGAGAATTTTATGCTACTATTAGCGTCATACATTAAAATCAATGGGATGCAATCTCTGTGAATTAAAGCGCGCTACTGCGAAGCTGTAGCTCTCATTTCATTTCCATTGCTCTCCAGACAGGTCTGGCGTTTGCTCTGGATACCGCTGACAGAAGACATCCTTCATGGTGCTGCTGGAGCGGTCTGTCCTGCAGCGATAAGCTATAATGGATCTGTTTGCAAGAACCGCTGTCTTGCCTTGTATCCAAGAGCAGATGAAGAACAGCTTCTGCGCTCAAATACTGTATTAACCTTGACAATAATGAAGTGGGTAATTAACTGTTTTGCCCTAATATGACCTTGCGTTTATTGTCTTTAAAACTACTATACTTTACACAGGCACTAAGAATACATCATCCTTTGTCCTTCAGGAGCTGTGCTTTCAAAAGTCGACAAAGATTTAAAATCTCTGTAATGCCCGGAATAGGAGGAAAAAAGTCTTCTTAGGAAATGTTGCCTTATAAAGAGCCAATCTAAATTCTGATTTCACTCCTAGCCAGCTTATCCGCTCATTTTCATTGTATGTAAAATAAATGCACAACCTAGGCATATCT